CAAGCGGCCTAAGTCGCAGGAGCGACACGCGCTCCGCAGAAGCGGGAACCCGTTCGCAGAAGCGGCCAGCGCTGGGCCTAGGGAATTTCGTAGAAGCGGGCCTAGTGCCGCAGAAGCGGTACCGCAGAAACCTTCATTTAAGTCGGGACTTAAGCATTTTGGGTTCATTTATTGCATTCCTTGGGCAATTTTTGGAGCTCTTAGAGAGGGATTTTCACCTAACACTTTGAGGTAAGTAATTTCTATACAATGTAAGTTATATACATAGATTATGGATAGATTTAACATGTAAATTTGTGAAATTATGGGTTTAGATAAAAAACCTAGGTTTTGATAAAAATGGGGTTTATCCACGAAAATTATTATGGAATTTAGTGAAAATTATATATTTGAGTTCGTGAGATTATGGGTAACAACTTTCTTCGAAAATTTTCGGAGGGCACGTGGCCCGGGGTAAATTTTAGGAAATCCTTCAATTGGGTTGGGTAATTACTTTAATAGTTAGAATATGAACTTTTAAACATATATTGATTGATTCATACAACATTTGACTAGTTTCAGATTTTTCAACACCGAGTGGAGGCTTTAGAGTGAATTGGAGGCCGGAAAGTGAGCTTTGAGACGAGGTAAGTCTCTTGCCTAACCTTGTAAGAGGGAATTTACCCCATAGGTGATTTAATTTAATAATTGTTTCTAATTGTGGGGGCTACGTATGTACGAGGTGACGAGAGTCCGTGCATAGCTACTATTTATGATTATGTCCGGGTAGTTTAGGACCCAAATCATGAATTACTTGTAATGTTTGCACCTACTTGTTAATTAAAGTGCCTAAATTATATTAGAACTTGATAAAGAAGTTGTAAAATACCGAATTTCAATTAATTTCTTTGGCGGATTACTTGATCGTTAATGGAAATTGAATTACGTTGTGTATTAGCATTGTGAGAACGTTAAGTCAAATGCTTATAAAGTGTCCTAAATTCTTGTGGAGCAGGCCGAACGCCTCTACAGTTGAATAGATGCATCTACCGATCGTACCGCACGTCCCTCGGTAGTGTACACGGTATTCTGGATCGGGTCATACGACCTCGTCATAATTCATGCTTAATAACACTCGGAGCCTAATCATACTTGATATTATTGGTGGTTTGTGAGGTTACAAGTATTAATGATAGGAATTTACTTGGAATTTAATTATTTGTGAAAGAATTACTTGTTCGTGCTTGCTAATGAGTTATTAGTATTATTCACATATCCTATGTTCATTTAGAATTTCTGTATTCATATTATTAGCCTATAGTAAGTTTCGAAGTCGACCCCTCGTCACTACTTCTTCGAGGTTAGACTTGATACTTACTGGGTACATGTTGTTTATGTACTCACGCTACACTTTTGCACTGACCGTGCAGGATCTGAGGCAGGTGCATCTGGCGATCACACCGGCGCGCACCCTCGTTACCCGAGGCCTAGTGGTAAGCTGCTTTCCTGAGCCGTTCTACAACATCTTAGAGTCTCTCATTCACTTTCATTCCTGTCTATTTTGATTTAAGATATTAGCTAGATAGTTTTGTATAATCTATTAGTGCTCATACACTTGTGACACCAGGTCTTGGCACACACTAGTAGACTTGTGATTTTGGATTATTTCTATGGTTATGATGGCACTCGGTTGCTTTCATTTTATTTATTTTAAACATGATGTTCCTCAAACCTTTTAAATTAAGGAAAGTTTAATTACTTAAAAATCCATTAAAAAGGGAAATCACGTGGTTAGTTCACTGTTGGCTTGCCTAGCAGCGTCGCTGGGGGCCATCACGGCCTATAAGAGAATTGGATCGTGAAACATTTAGGGGCTCACACCTAACTGTACTTGTTACACATGCCAACCCCTTCAAACATATAAAAACAATTGTTATAAGAGCAACTGCAACACATGTTGCCAACTATTTCCACTCTACTCTCTCTACAGCTACCTGGCCTTCACAAACTAGACAACAGTAGTCATCCTCAGAGCCCCTGATCGTTCATAATCCCAGAAGTTCTGCACCAATTTTAATGAACAATGCATCATCACCTTATTGCTCATATTTCAGCACTGACAACATCAATGAAATTGAGGATACTGTCTTATTAATGTTGTTCCCAGTTTTACTGATACTCAACTGCTCCATCTCTTCTATCAAATATTCCCTGAAGCTTCTCATATCTATCACAATTATCTACCACTTGTGGATAGACAATTGTTTCATTCACATAGGTCTAACTTCATCTAATTCTCTAGACCCAATTGATTGTCATGTTTGGACAACCAAATGGAGATCCATCATAGTTTTGGAGGTAAGGTCCATGCCCCCCTCTATTGGTGTAATTTTATGTTATATCTATAAAATCTTATCCTATGCAATATGCCTAGTGGATTTGGAAAAACAACTGAATAATATTGCAAATAATTCAAAGCTCCATAAACGAATTCAAGGAAATAACTAGAGTTAAAATCCACAAAAATCAATCAGAACACCATATCCGTCTAACCCTAAGGGAAATCACTCCATAATCATAGAGGAAGTCATCACAAATATAATAAAAAAGTAAGAAAACATCTATTTAACGTTACAAATCCAAACTCCCGTATTGAATTAATGGAAAGATGATGAAATATTGTGTCCTGTAGCCTCCAATGCTCTCCAAAAGCTTTCAAGGTCAAAAAAACCCTTCAAAAACATCTTTTTGGTGTATTTACATCATATAGGAGTGGGCCCGGATGAAACTACCCTTTCCAAGCCAACATAGGAAAATACTTTGAGAAAATTGTACAAACGCGCCGTGCCTAGCGCTGTGCTATGCGGTGTGCTAGTGGGAAAGTTCAGAGAGCGAGTTTCTAACATACAACAGGATTTACACTGCCGCGTCGCCCCACACAGCGCGACTGTGTACCTTTAACAAAGTAATTTTATTTTTTCATTTTTTTATATCTAGACTTGGTCCTCGACCCCCAAACGCAATCCCGTTTTAATTCCTTGGGTTTTTACTCAGACTTCAAAGCTGCAACTTGTTCGATTAGCTCCCGATTATCTTTTATCTCGGAATCACTTCTAAAAGGCATAAAACCATAATGAGTGCAATTTACTATCACTTAAGCTCAAACACAAGTAAAATGCAGTAATTAGAGTGCAAACTATGACTAAAACACCATTTTCTAGCCTACCAACAATGCCCCATACTTAAACCATTGCTTGTCCTCGAGCAATCAAACTGCACTTCACATAGAGACGACCTTCTTATCAGACACTTGCCGAACGCATCATGCCAAGAATATTTAAAGCAGAATAAGCACCCTATCATAACATCCTATCCTCAAGACTCAACTCGCACGCGCCACGTATTTCAAAAAACCTACTCACTTACTCAAACTCAGAGGCCAAAGACATTACCTTTCCTTTGCAAATCATGTGCCCTCACACCAAATATAGAGAGTAAATCCACACACAATATAATTCAAGAACAAATAGGAACTCAAGATAGAAAGAATTCACTCACTCTCAAAATTAAAATTCAGTTGCCACAGAAGATGCACATATGCTTGCCTGTAGTGTAATGCTTTACTAATTGAGCTTATTCAGTAAAAGATCAAGTAAGACTTTATTTTGGTTGTAATGTAGGCTGCGAGACGGGTAGGATACATTTGGATATAGTGACTATACCTCCCTAAGCACTTTAATACATATATATTAACACATTATACCCCACAGTTGTGTTGAACGAATCCCCAACCTTCACACATAATAGCATCAAGTTACCAATATCTTTAAGCACAAACAAGATGAGAACTACCACTAGCAAGGCATCATTTTTTTTCTTTTTTCTAATACATACACAAACTCCCTCTTATTTTTCTTTTTTCAAAGTTCTAGTTGATTTTTCTTTCTTTTTTATTTATTTATTAATTCCTTAAATGTGGCTCTCACAAATTATCAATGAGTGCACCTTTCTCCATTTCTAATAGTTCCACTCAAAAGCCAACCATACCTATATTCACCTCGTAACAAGCTCATAACAGTTTCAAGTGCTCATGAGAGTTAAAAGGTTCAAACAGATGGTCAGTTAAAATAAAAGGTTCAAGCTTGTAGTGTGGTTTCCAAAGAAGTAGGATTACATGCACAAAGGGGCTAACTAGGGTACACAATAATCAGGCGGTCACAAACATATAATCGGCTCAACAAAGAAATGCCTATATCACTTCCTATACTGAACAAGACTTTTATTTCGCTTTGCAAACACAAAGGGAAAGTTCTAGACCTCAACTAACATGCACAAAATATCAACAAAATCCTCACACACAGATTGGCACATAACTCACTTAGGACCAGATCTATCCAGACTATCTAGCCAAAGCAGTTAAGCAAAGTCAAAATCAAACAATTTAAGGCATTACAATACATTAGTCAATAACTGAGCCTAGGTATCACAACTAAGGCACTCACTACTCTCAGGCATAAAAAAGCCAAGAACAACTATCTCCGTTTAACACCACAGTACAAACTTTCCTATTCCTAAAAAAAGAAAAACTAACTACACTCGGTTCAAGTAAACTCCTTGGAAAAAAATGGTGGCACAAAGAAAAATAAAGGGGGAATTGTTACACTACCTAAGCAAAATAAAAAATATTTTTTTCGACTTTGATCCCTCAAGAAGACAGTCGAGGAAATCCATCATCGAGAAAAGTCAAAAAAAAAATTCAATAAAAAAAGAAAAAGAAAACAGACACACATGTACGTATTTACATCCCCCAACCCACACTTTAAATTGTAGCATGTCCCCATGACACACAAATAAAAGGCAAGAGATAAGAGAAACTCCCCTAAATTATCTAGTCGGGGTCTGAATCAAAGTCGGGATCTTCTTTGCACGCCCGACCTAGTGCACACATCCATGACGAAAGTTTCTTTTCCGCCTTCTTTGGACCCCACACTTGTCATGCTTACTCTCTCCCATTCTCTCTTTTAGGACCCCATTGCTCCTTTTATCTTGATGACCACCCTTTCTTCTCCCACTTTGAGCATGAGCTGCCTTTCCTGAATGTCCAAAATAGCTTTGCTAGTAGCCAAAAATGGTCTCCCTAGAATTAGAGGGATCTCCCTATTCTCTTCCATATTCACCACAATGAAGTTCATAGGGAACATAAATTTGTCCACCCAAACTAGCACATCTTCCACTATTCCTTCAAGTATGATTGTGGTCTGATCCGCCAGCTGCAAGGATACATGTATCGATCGGATTTCTCTAATCTCTCCCTCCAATTTCCTGAAAATAGACAAAGGCATAAGATTAATAGAAGCAACTGAATCACAAAGATTTTTCAAACTTAATACTTCCTAAAGAGGAAGGTATAGTAAAACTTCCTGGATCTCCATACTTTTGAGGGAGCTTATTTTGCAGAATGGAACTACAATGCTCTGTGAGCTTGACGACTGATGTCTCTTCCACTTTCCGCATGTTGGAAAATATCTCCTTCAAGAATTTAGCATAAGCTGGCATCTGAGAGAGCACCTCTATGAATGGTAGATTAACATGCACCTGCTTGAGCACATCTAGGAAAGCCCAAATTGTTTGTCTAGCTTATCTCTTCTCTGCTTCCGAGGGAAAAGTAGAGCAAACATGTATTTTTTTTCCTCAGTCACCTCATTTATTGCATTCCCATCTTTCTTCTTCTTCTTCTGAGCTCTAGTCTTACTCTTCTTGTTCAGACCATCATCTACCATCCCTTCACCTTCTTGAATGTTGCTATTTCTGCTCCTCCTTAATCTCCACTTGTGTTTCAATCAACTTATCCTTTTGTTTTGCCCTAGGATCCTCCAATATGTGCCCACTCCTCAAAGACACTTGCATTTATTGTCTCTATTGGATTTCTTTCAGTATCCGCAAGGAGAGTTCCTGGAACCCTCTTTGACAATAGATTAGCAAGTTTCCCCACCTGCCTTTCCAAGTTTCAAATGGCTGTGCCTTGTTCTCGGATAGTTGTGCCATGAGTTTCAAGACTCTCATCTGTCTTAATAATAAAGGCCTTCATCAGATCTTCTATGCTAGACTGATTAGACTATGGAGGCTGATATTATTGCATCTGTTGATTTTAAAAACCTGGAGCTCTATGTCCTTGGGGTTTGGAGTTATTGTGTTGCCATGCATTCGCACTACCACCTGGTGAACTTAAAAAAAACACTTGGGTGCCTCTTCCCCATGGAGTTAAAATTATTGCCAGTTTGCCTTTATTAAAGCTCCCCATAACATTTACCGCTTTATCTGTAGTGGAGGCCTAACACTCACACATTGGATGACCTATTCTACAAAAATCACAGACTAAAGATAGGTGGATCTGGACCTTGGCTAAGGTTAACCTTCTTGTCTCTCTAGCTATGGTGTCTAGCTGGGATTGTACTGAAGTGTTAGAATCCACTTGATGTACCTCGACTTTTTTCCTTCTCTCGTTATCATCGCAGGCTATTGATTTGCATCTTTAGCTAATTTATTTAGAATTGCAACAATTTTCTTAGTAGTTTTCTTCATAAGAGGACCTCCAACTGCGTTGTATAGTGTCCTCCTACCAGAGGGTGTCAGCCCATCCCAGAAATCTTGGAGTTGCATCCACAAGCCTACTCCATGATGCTGACATCTTCTCACAATATCCTTATATCTTTCCCATGCTTCAAACACCGTTTCTGTATATTTCTGCTCAAAGTTGTGGATCTCTCTTCGAATTTCCCCGCTAAAAAATATTTTTTAAAGAACTTCTTTGTCATGTATTCCCATGTTTGATATGACCTAGTCGACTAACTCCGCAACCAGTGCTTAGTATCTTCCCTCAGTGAAAAAGGAATTGTCCTTAAGCATATAGCATTTTTCAATACCCTGTTGTGCTGGAAGGTATTCATTATCTCATCGAAATCCATCAAATAAGTATTTGGATCTTCGTTAGGTTTGCCTTGGAAGACATAATTATTCTGAATGAACTAAAGTAGCCCTTGCTCGATCTCAAAATTATTAGTTACGATGGCAAGAGGTACACACTAGACACTCCTTGGTTGTAGACTTGCCTAGCGTAGTCTCCCAGTGATCGTCCAGGTCTGGGCATATTATTTTCAAATACGTCTTCAACCAGAGGTCGATTAAGGTTGAATCTTCGTCCTCTGTTCCCGTCAATCATTTCATTAGCTCTGAGAGCTGCTTCAGCAGCTGCCCCTGCGGCTACTTCCTGTTGGACTGCTTCCCGTGCAGCCAAATTAACTACATCCTCTCCATCTTTATCCATGTTCTCTTAGGTTGAAGATTGCCACAAGATTTTCCAGTGAGCTCTTTCTCTTTCCTCAACTGTCGCAGACGCTTTTCCACCACTAGATCATGTGGGGATCACTTTTTTTTGAAGAAGATCGAGTCATACACCAAAGAATTTAACCTGTTGCTTGCACATAGATGGGAAAAACCGTGAAGAATAAAAAAAATTCCTGAATTAGCCCTAAAAACTATTCCGAACACTATTGATTGCCAATCCCGGCACGTCGCAAAAATATGACGAGCGCAAAGTACAACATGAAATTAATGCTCACAAGCCAAAGATAATATAGTTATGATTTTCGTCTCCACATGGATTGAATTTAAGCAATGTTCAAGTAATTTCTAGCTTAACATTATTCAGGATGATTAACACATTGGTTGGGATGATTAATAACTCAAATTACCTACGAAATGAAAATAATTAACAATTGATCATTGAAAGACAAGAGTTGAGAAATATCAAAATATCAATGGGAGAAATATGGGTCGTGACGGGATAGGTGCAAGATAGCTAGTTGGGATCCAACTCTAGTTCAATTCACTCTAATGTTCTAATGATTCTTACGAATTCACTCGATGATTAGTTCAAACGTGTAGTCAAGATTCCTCTCTCGATTAAGCTTAACTCTACAAGGTGAACCAATATAAGCATTGTAAAAATATACAAGCATGCATTAATGGATTAGTCTTCAGGAAAACGTCTCTCGAATATTCTCCTAACTTGATTTAATCAACAATTCAAAAAGCTCTTTCGATTACATAAGCGAATCACTAAATTAAACCAAACAAATTAATGCAAGATAATCACCACAATATTCCTCTTTCGAATAGATGCAGTGCTAAGTACGGTGGTAAAACTTCTTCTATGGTTAGAGTTACTCTTGCAATCCAATAAGATATTCATCTTCTTCTCATAGCCAGATATTCATACATAAAATGGCCCCTTAAGTGGATTGATCTATATACCACGGTAGAAGCTCTGAAACATATAACCACAACAATTTTGGTGAGGTGGAAAAAACCACAAACCAATTTTGTGAAAGTCTACACTGATGGTGGTGCACTTACCAATGCTGGTAAAATTGGAGAAGGAGTCATAGTGAGAGATCACCAAGGCCAATTCATTCATGTCAAATCCTGTCCACTTGGTGAGGCACCAATAATCTAGCAGAAATAAACACAACTATCATTGGTGTCAAATGGTGTATGGCTAATGGATACACCAAGATTCAGATTGAAACAGACTCCAATCTCCTCAAGTAATGTCTAGATAGAGAAAGTGTACCCCCTTGGAACTTGGATATGCATATGCAGGAACTCAAGGATCTTTGTCAGCAATGTGAAGTCATTACAATTTTACATGTATACAGAGAGGCCAATTGCCTGCAGATTCACTGTCCTAACTCTATCATAGACTTGCATCACAAACAAACTTCTACAACCTATGTGAGCTCCCACCCATATTAGGGGTCAAATCCTTTTGGATCAAAATGGAACCCCCTCCTTTAGGCATAAAAGGACCAGTAGGGTTCAGTTTCCTACACAATTCATAGCCACTCATTCCAATAGTTTTGGTTAAAATTGTCTTTCAGAGGGGAGCAAGCCCAATAATCCAAACTACCTTCATCATAGTGTATTTGATTGTGATGCTTATCTTAGTTGCCGGTTCCACAACACCAATCAACGGAAACACATCAATAGGCTATAATCATATTGGAGAACAACAACAACGAATATTGTTATAACTTAGTTGGCTTTTTGTAGGATCTCTCTCTATGTAACGACCCGACCGATCGTTTTGAACTCTAGCGCATTGTTCAGCAGTCTAAGACCATGAACAGCTTCATTTCAGGTATTATAACTTGTACGCGTGGTTGGAATTGAATTTCGGGAAGTCCAGAGTTGATTTGGAAAGAGAATTCTCATTTCGGAAGCTTAAAGTTGAAAGAATGAACTAAGATTGGAATTTTGAGTAAAAGGCCTCGAAATCGGGATCTAAAGGTTCCAGCAGGTTTGTATGATGATTTTGGACTTGGGCGTATGCCCGGATCGGATTTTGGATAACCCGGGAGCATTTTGGCGCCTATTGTGGAAGTTAGCATATTTGAAGAAATTTCATAAGTTTGGCTTGAAGTGCATTTTAGTGTTATCGATGTCCGTTTGGGATTCCGAGTCTGTGAATAGCTCCGTATGGTGATTCTGGAGTTGGGAGCGCGATCGGAAGTGAATTCGGAGGTCCGTAGGTCATTTTGGAGTCATTTGGCTAAAGTAGAAATTTGAAGGTTTTGAGAAGTTTGACCGGAAGTTGACTTTTTGATATTGGGGTCGGAATCCGGTTCGAAAAGTTGGAATAGGTCCGTAATGTTGAATATGACTTGTGCGCAAAATTTGAGGTCAATCGGACGTGATTTGATAGGTTTAAACATCGGAAATAGAAGTTTGAAATCTTAAGGTTCATTAAGCTTGGATTGGAGTCCGACTCGTGATTTTAGGGTTGTTTGAGGAGATTTGAGGCTTCGAGCAAGTCCGTGTAATGACTTTGGACTTGTACGAGTGTTTGGTTTGGAGCCCTGGGGGCTCGAGTGAGATTCGGGATCGCTTCGGAGTGATTTGCTAAGAAATTGGATTGCTGGTACTGGTATGATCGCAATTGCGATGCATGGGTCGCAAATGCGACCTCGCATTTGCGAGTTCCTTCTCGCATTTGCGAGCCTGGGCTCCAGGGGGAAAGTTCGCAATTGCGAAACGGGGGATGGGAATTGCGAGGCTATGATCTTCGCATTTGCGAAGCTTTTGTCGCAAATGCGACATCGCATTTGCGAACCTGGGAGGCTGGGGCATAGTTCGCATTTGCGACATTTTGTGTCGCTTTTGCGAGGCCTGAAGGGTTCGCATTTGCGAAACCCCTGTCGCAAATGCAACATCTGAGGGCTGTGTCCAGTTATTTAATTCGAAACTTAGCCCATTTCCCTCATTTCCCACTTGGCCTTAGGCGATTTTTGAGAGCATTTGAGGAGGGATTCCGTCATCATCAAAGAGGTAAGTAATTTCTACACATCTTAAGTTAAATACATAGATTATGGGTAGATTAACATGCAAAAGTTATGGGAAATCATGGGAATAGAGTAAAACCTAGGGTTTTGTTAAAAAAACAAGATTTAACCATGAAATTGGTCATAGAGTGGAGTAGAAATCATATATCTTTATCCTTAGGTTATAAAGAACAACTTCCTTCGAAAAATTTCGGAATCCGGGCACGTGGGCCCGGGATCGGATTATAGAAACCTTGAATTTAAGGTTGGGAAATTGGGTTAATAGTTAGAATATGAACTTTTAAGCATGTATTGACTAGTTCTTACCCTATTTGAATAGTTTCGGATCGTTCGGCTCCGAATTGGAGGTTTGAGCACGTTCTTGGATCGGAATATAGGCT